TATCACTTGTATGAGATTATACACATAATTGACTACGTGATGTCAATGATAAAGTATAATGCTAAAATACTTATTGTGTCACTTTTTCCAAGGAAGAGAATTGAAGCTTTGATATGAGCGAACAAGTAACTCTACCTGAAATGACCAAAGACTGGACCAAAGAGCATGTGCAAAAATGGGTAACCGAAGACCTTAAGATTGATGAGAAATATGGGCAAATTCTGTTCCGTGAAGAAGTGACGGGATTAGTCCTGCAAGAATTAACTGAGAAGGACCTTGAGGAAATGGGGCTACCACGGGGTCCAGCACTTTTGATAAGACGTAAGTACAACAAATTGAATAATAATTCTCCTAAAAGTGACAAGCAAGATTCTGGACAGTTAGCCCATACAAAACCCTCCAAAAAAGAACACCAGAAAAAGCCAAAACAGACAAAAATGGAAGAGGAAAAATCAATGTCATCTGATATCAGTCATGATCTCAGAGAGATCAGAGATACCAAAGAGCAAGAATCAATTCTTATGAAAGAAACTGCATTAAATGAAGCAGCAAACACTAAAGACACAAAAAAGAGTAAACTAAAAACTGAACTGTTGACTTGCATGCCGTATCCTTTTGATCAGTTCCATGACAGCAAACGTTACATAGAAAATTATATTCTACAACCTGAAACAGGACCACTCAATCTCATTGACCCAGTCCATGAGTTCAAAGCTCTCACGAATACAGAAACAGCCACAGAAGAGGATATTAAGATGAAATTTAGCAATGAAGTTTTCCGATTTGCATCAGCCTGTATGAATTCACGCACCAATGGTACCATCCATTTTGGAGTCAAGGACAAACCCCATGGAGAAATTGTTGGTGTGAAAGTTACCAGTAAGGATGTTTTCATCGACCACTTCAATCTAATGATCAGAAAGTATTTTGAAGAAAATGAGATCAATAAAGCCAAGAAGTGTATTCGAGAGCCAAGGTTTGTGGAAGTCCTACTGCAGAACAATATGCCATCTGACAGATTTGTTATTGAAGTAGATATTATTCCAAAATACTCTGTATGTAAAGAGAAGTATTTCTACATTAAGATGCAAAATTGTAAAAATAAAACATGGAAACAGAACGAAGATCATTCACTGTTTGTGAGAGAAGGGGCTAGCTCTAAGGATATCTTGGCCAATGTCAAGCAACGGGATATAGAGTTCAAAGCATTTTTACAAAATGTAAAGTCATGGGCAGCATCTAGAAAAAAGGCCGAAGAAGAACATGAAATGAAGTCAACTAAGAAGGAGAGTGAAGGAGTAAAGCTGGTTAAACTTCTCATAGGAAACCGAGACTCGCTGGATAATTCGTATTATAAATGGTACATTCTTGTAACAAATAAATGCCACCCAAACCAAATAAAGCACTTAGATTTTCTGAAGGAAATTAAATGGTTTGCTGTGTTGGACTTTGATCCTGAATCTGTAATCAATGGAGTGGTCAAAGCTTACAGAGAAAGCCGAGGAGCAAACCTTCACTTTCCACACCAGTATGAAGAAAAAACAACTAACATGCAAGAGAAGATTTCTATTCTGAATCTTTACCACCAGCCCAGCTGGATCTTCTGTAATGGCAGATCAGACCTGAAAAATGAGACGTATATGCCTCTAGAACCACATTTATGGCAGAGAGAAAGAGCTTCTGAGGTCAGGAAACTGATTTTATTTCTCACAGATGAAAATATAATGACAAGAGGGAAATTTTTGGTGGTGTTTCTTCTACTCTCCTCAGTGGAAAGCCCAGGAGATCCAATCCTTGAAACGTTCTCTGCTTTCTATCAAGCTCTCAAAGGAATGGAAAATATGTTGTGTATCTGTGTAAACTCACAGATCTTTCAACGATGGAGAGATCTACTACAAACAAGATTGACAATAGCAGATGAATTAACAAACCACAGTGTTTCCACTTTAAATGTAGAACTGCTAAACAGTACTATCCTTACGCTAAAATCAGTGACTCAGTCATCAACAAGGCTTTTGCCCTCCTGTGGATCTACTTCAGTTATCCTAGAGAAAAAAGAAGAGGATATCTTGACTGCGCTGGAAATCCTCTGTGAAAATGAGTGTAGAAACACAGACATAGAGGGCGATAAATCTAAATTTCTAGAATTTAAGAAATCAAAGGAAGAACACTTTTATCGAGGTGGCAAAGTGTCCTGGTGGAACTTCTATTTTTCTTCTGAAAACTATTCTTCAGCTTTTGTGAAAAGGGACAGTTATGAAAACCTTAAAGATTTAATACAGCGCTGGGCAGAGTCTCCTAAACCAATATTTGCAAAGATCATCAATCTTTATCATCATCCAGGCTGTGGGGGTACTACATTGGCTATGCATGTTCTCTGGGACCTAAAGAAAAACTTCAGATGTGCTGTGTTAAAAAATAAAGCAACAGACTTTGCAGAAATTGGAGAACAAGTAACTAATCTGATCACCTTTAAGGTAACTGGCCATCAGGATTATGTTCCTGTGCTTCTCCTTGTAGATGATTTTGAAGAGCAGGAAAATATCTACATTTTACAGAATGCCATCCATTCCGTTTTAGCAGGGAAGGGTTTGCGATATGAAAAAACATTGGTAATTATCTTAAACTGCATGCGATCCCGGAATCCAGATGAAAGTGCCAAATTAGAAGACAGTATTGCACTAACATACCAACTTTCTCCCAAGGAACAAAGAGCTTTTGAGGCTAAACTGGAGGAAATTGAAAAGCAGCACAAGAACTGTGAAAACTTTTATTCCTTCATGATCATGAAAAGCAATTTTGATGAAACATATATAGAAAATGTAGTCAGGAATATCCTGAAAGGACAGAATGTTGACAGCAAGGAAGGCCAACTCATTTCCTTCCTGGCTTTACTGAACTCTTATGTTACTGATTCTACGATTTCACTGTCACAGTGTGAAATATTTCTGGGACTCATATACACTAGTACACCCTGGAAACCTGAAAGCCTGGAAGATAAGATGAGAACATATTCCACACTTTTAATAACCACAGAAGTCACAGAATACGGGAGATACACAGGTGTGCGTATCATTCACCCGCTGATTGCCATTCACTGTCTAAAAGAACTGGAAAAAAGCTATCACTTGGATAAATGCCAAATTGCACTGAAGATATTAAATGAGAATTTATTCTATGATTCCGGAATAGGAAGAGACAAATTTCAACATGACGTGCAAACTCTTCTGCTTACAAGACAGCGCAAGGAGTATGGAGATGAAACAGACACGTTGTTTTCCCCATTAATCGAAGCTTTACAGAATAAAGAAATTGAAAAGGTCTTGACTGAAGGAAGTGTTCGATTCCCACAAAACGCCTTCATTTGTCAAGCCTTAGCAAGACATTTCTACATTAAAGAGAAGAACTTTAACATTGCTCTGGATTGGGCAAATCAGGCCAAAAAGAAAGCACCTAAAAATTCTTATATCTCAGACACATTAGGTCAAGTCTACAAAAGTGAAATCAAATGGTGGTTGGATGAAAACAAAAACTGTAACGTCATTACTGTTAATGATCTAACACATTTACTAGAAGCTGCTGAAAAAGCCTCAAGAGCTTTCAAAGAATCTCAACAGCAAACTGATAATAAAGACTATGAAACCGAGGCCTGGTCACCACAGAAGCCCCAAAGAAGATATGACATGTATAATACATCTTGTTTCTTGGGTGAAATAGAAGTTGGTCTTTATACTATCCAGATTCTTCAGCTTACTCCCTTTTTCCACAAAGAAAATGAATTATCGAAAAAACCTATGGTGCAATTTTTATCAGGAAAGAGGAGCATTCCTCTTGATCCAGGAAATGAATATTCTTTGGCTCTTAGCAAGTTTACATCCCACCTACAAAATTTACAATCAGATTTGAAAAGATGCTTTGACTTTTTTATTGATTATATGGTTCTTCTGAAAATGAGGAACACCCAAAAAGAAATGGCAGAAGTCATGTTAAGCAAGAAAGTCAGTCGTTGTTTCAGGAAATATACGGAACTTTTCTGCCATTCAGATTTGAATCCATTACAAAGCAAAGAGAGTCAATTACTGCGGGAGGAGAATTGCAGGAAATCTCTAGAAGCTTTGAGAGCAGATAGGTTTTCTGGACTCCTGGAATACCTAAATCCAAACCACAAAGAGTCTGCAACCATCATGGAAAATATAGTGAATGACTACACCTTCCTATTGCAGCAAAACCCAAATAAAAGGCTGCCAAAAGAAAAACAAAATTTCATTTTGGCCAATATCATTCTCAGTTGTCTAAAACCTAACTCCAAATCCATTCAACCACTTAACATGCTTAAAAAACATCTCCGAGAAGTCTTGCAACTTGCAGGACCAAGTCATCAACACCCAGACCCTTATTTCTTGGCCTGCCTCCTGTTCTGGCCAGAAAATCAAGAGGTAGATCAAGATTCCGAACTAATGGAAAAGTATGTTTCATCCTTAAATAGATCCTTCAGGGTACAGTATAGGCGCATGTGCAGATCCAAGCAGGCAAGCACACTTTTCTATCTGGGCAAGAGGAAGGGTCTCAACAGTCTCGTTCACAAGGGCGCAATAGAGCAGTACTTTGGTAAAGTACAAAATGCAAATTCCCTCTGGCAGAGTGGAGATGTGTGGAAAAAAACAGAAGTCAAAGACCTCCTGCGTCGTCTAATTGGTCTGGCTGATGGCAAGCTAATCTCTATAGAATATGGAACAGAGAAAAAAATTAAAATACCCGTGATATCTGTTTATTCTGGTCCCCTGAGAAGTGGTAGGAACATAGAAAGAGTTTCTTTCTACCTAGGATTTTCTATTGAAGGCCCTCTGGCATATGACATAGAAGTCCTCTAAGAAGATACGTTAGTTTGAGTATGTTCATTCATATCGCTCTATGATTTTATTTCCTCTCTCTGTTCCCATGGCATTTTGATGACATTATTGGCTTACCTCTAATCATGGATTTTGCTTTTGTCCCTCTGAATGAAGAATAAGCTTTTTTAGAATAAGAAACATGTCTACATACAGAGTTTGGCACACAGTAGAGTCGATTAGTTAATGTTTTAAATATGCATTTTCAGTCTAACCTATCCAATTAAAAAGTTTCAATTGCTATCCACTGGTCAAACTATAACTGGTTATAGTCAATAAAATCTGTTTTAAATTCAACCATTTTTAAGAATTTTCTGAAATATGTCTTCACCGTGAAAGCATCTCCTTGGCTTATTGAACTCAAATCCACAGATGTACACCAGAGTTCCACTTACCTCATCTTGGTACAGATAAAAATGTATGCAGAAGGTAAATATTTTATCCCCCATCCTCCATCTAGCCCCTCCACCAACACACACACACACACACACACACACACACACACACACACACACACACACAGTTCCTTGTACTCTTCGCCCTTCTCTCAACTCCTTGCTTCAGGAGGGGGAAGAGAGCAAAAAACAAGGTAGTCACAAGCTTCATCTACCTCCATTCTCTTGCTCCCATTTACAGGTGAGTTTGTTCCTTTGGCCATTCTTGTGTGCTGCGAATGCGGCCTTATCTGCGCCTTGTCTTTAGATCCCATCTCCTCTAGCTTCTTTTTTCCTTTCACTACCCTCATTGTTCTCTTCACTTCTCAACCTGTGATGTATGCGTGCTGTTTTCTCTGTTGAGATTCTCTTATTTTCATCCAACATTCTCCATATAGTTATTCTGATTTGTCCTTCACTACTGAGTTCAGGAGTCACCTCCACCAGGAAGTCTTCCCTGACTACAATATCTCAGGCATGGTTTCCTCATGGCAATACTTGCTTTCAATTTTCCAGTAACAGAATGCCAGCCCATAAGTTCATTTCCAGATTTATATCAGCCAGAAAGTCTTAAGCAGCATTCTAGAGTTTGAAATTTAAGATCTACGCCTTGCCTATATAAAGTAAAAAAATGTGCTAATATAGATTAAATTGAATATTTAAATAACAAATATGTTTACTTATTCAGACCTTTGTATCTCCTTATAATGTAACTTAGATATTCCAGACTTCAAACCCAATTCCTCTTATCAAGAAATCTATGCCCTATTAGGTTTCCCTTAACAAGTATTTCTATGAACCTGGGGAATGCTCACGTGGACCACGAACATGACCTTGTTCCTGAAAGCCATGTCTGCTGCTGATCCTGCTCCAAAGGGCTGCTTCCCTCTTCTGCAGTCCACCTGTCCATCTGGTTACAGGCCCTCCCAAGTGTTTGCACTCCCCAAAGCATTCATAGACCTGTAGACATAGGCCTGTCCCTCAGTTCTTTACAACTCTGCCAAAGAATTCAGCAAGACATAACTAAAGGCTTGACTTCAAGAAAAAGGTTATAATAAAATGAAGAAAAACCATTAAATGCTCTTGTTAGCCATAACTATCCTCAAAGTTCATAGGCCTGGTCCCTTTACAAGATTTCTTAGGGGACTTCTCTCTACTCAGTCCCTGTTATTAGTTATTTTTCTGTGGCTTATAAAAGAATACCTGAAACTGGGTGATTTACAAGAAAATGAAATCTATTTCTTACAATTTTGGAGGCTGGAAGTCCAAGGTCAAAGGGCACATCTGGTGAGGGTCTTCTTGTTGGTGGGGACCATCTACAGATTCCCATGGTGACGCAGGGTATCACGTGATGAGGGCTGAGCAAGAGCACATGCATGTGCTCTTATAAAGCCACCAGTCCGTACCCATGATAACCCATTAATCCATTCACCCATTAATGGATTAATTCATTAATGATGGCAGGGCCCTCATGATCCAATCACTTCTTAAAGGCCCCGTCTTTCAAATACCACATTGGGGATTAAGCTTCAACATGAACTTGGGGGGACACTCAAACCACAGCAGCCCTCATTTCAACAGTGGTCCGTGCTCAATCCTCTCAGATGAAACAATCCTTAAACATGAATGCTTGACTCAGAGATTAGGCTGCCAACCCTCTGAGGTCCCCAGAAAGAATTACATTTTTCCTGAAAATAAATATAATATGCAGAGAAGTCATCCTACACACAATGAGGACAAGGCTTTTCATTATTATGCAGAGAAGTTCAAATCCCCATTTCAGCCAGATCAATGGGGTGATAGATGTCATAGCCAGATCACCTTCACATCCCAACTCCCCATTTCGGAATAAAGTCTTTGCTTTATTCTTATAGAATCAAAGAGCCCATTAAAATGCTTTGCCCAAAATAAATTCATAGGACCCCTTCACAGGTAGAGTCATATTCTACTTACAGAAAAACCAAAAAACTTATAGTAGCCTTAAATTCCTGTCTATCCCATTTCAAAAATATAGAGATCTAATTACTGCTCAAGGAAGTCCATCAGAAAATAAAAACAACAATTTTTAAGTGATTTTTTTCTTAAGACTACCTCTCTGTTCTCTTTTCCAGAGTTGCTATCAAGGAAACCTGAAAGTAAAAAAAATTACTGGGTTGAGGATTTATTTGTGACATTGTGTGTTAATTCTACTGCCTCTTTCCTCAACTACCTCCTCATGAGGACTCATGCCCTCATGTTATCTCCAGCCAACAAACCCTCCGTTTTTTTTGTTTATTACTCATGCTCAAGTTAAGTATGAACTGGAAAAAAAAAATTTACACAAAGATGTTTCTTCAACTTGAAATGTTTTCATTTTGCATTTTTATTTGAGAAAGAAAATATTACTGAGCACCAAATATGCATGAGTGATCTAAGAGCCAGGATGGCTTCTACTGAAGCCTGTGAAGCCCACATTACAATATTTCATGAGTAACAGATAAATAAGGACCTTTAGATCAGCAGATCCTTTAGGGAGCAGTAACTCTATTTTCCACTATTAACAATATTCTCAATATTTCCTCAAAACACATGACTAGATAAATGAAGAGACTAGATTAGAAAAAAATAAATTTACATTAAACTTGGTGTCACTCTGAAAGGATAACTTGTATATTAGTTTGGAAATACCTATGATAATCCTGATGTGGGATTTCTGATCATGTGAATAGTATTTAAAGTTACAAACAGACTCTTAACAAAGAGAAATGTAACAAGAGGGAAGAAAATTTTTAAGACAAGTCAAAGGTCAAAGGTCTCTGCTTAAAGCTGAGCTCTTGAGTAAGTAAAACATACCCATCTATGCTCTGACTCTAACCAAATATGCCTAGTCCCTGTGGCAGTTGGGCCTGCCAGGGTGGACAGCTGGCAATGTTGTACCTGCAGTTCATAGAGCAAAATCCAGTTCCTGAAGGGAGTCCTGAAGGAGGCTCATGTTAAAGACTGAAGATGTATGTTGGCTATAAATAGCCACAGGAAGATTCAACTTGTTCTCACAGTCTTAGAAAAGTGGAAAGTGGCATTCAAAATGAGTCATGGCAGACCATTTTTAGGTCCATCCAGAAAGAAAAGTTAGTACTATTCTAGAGAGTTAATAGGCAATATCCATGTGGTTATTTAAAAGATACCAGCTGTGTGCAGAGGAGCAAGATCTGCCTAGGAGGATACAATATCCACATGTGACCCTCATAATGTCACTTTGCTTTGTTCTTTCAACCTATTTTATTAAATTTCTAACTGTACAAATTTCACTTGTACAAAGCAGTTTCATTTTGCTGGCTAATCTTGGGAGTTAGAAATGATGTTCATTACAGATATTGTAAAAATATATACATTTGCTAATGAGTGCTACATCTGATTCTTAAAGTGATAAGACCATAATATACAATTCAGGTCAGGTATTATGGGTATCAGTTAAACTAAAACACCAGTTACCCTCAGACATTGTGGGGTAAAATTGGACATGACTGGAAGCCTCACACTCTTGATACTGATGTGTACAGTGCCAGTATATCTTTTCTTTGAAAACTGTTGAGTGAGGTGACTCCAGCTCCTTATCTGATTTTGATCTGACAGTGGCATGACACGAAGACTTAAAGAGTGCCTTAAAGAGCGTTGCTCCGGGTATAAATTTCGACAAAGACTTGGCAGTTTCTTACAAAGCTAGATACACACCTACCTGATCCAGCAATTCCAAGCCAAGGTATTTACCTAAGAGAAATGAAGACATATGTTTATCAAAAGACTTGTACAAAAATACTCACAGCACCCTTATGCACGAATGCCAAAAATTAAACTAACTCAGATGTCTGTCTAAAGGAAAATGGATAAACAAATTGTGGTATATTTATACAGCTGAATACTATTCAACAATAAAAAGGAACAAACTACTGATACTTGTAACAATAGGACCAACCTTAATAACATTCTGTGGAATAAAAGAAGCCAATCACAGAAGAGTACATATATATGACTCCATGTGTATGAACACCTGAATCAGGTAAAATTAATCTATGGTTACAAAAAAATCAGAAGAGTGATTTCCTCTGAAAAGGTTAACAGTAACTGGGAAGGGACATTTGATAACAAAAATGTCCTATATCTTGATTGGGGTGTGGGTACTCAGGTGTGTCAAATCATTTGTCAGATTATATTTAGTATATGCACACTCCGATTTTACCTTAGGGCAGGTGGAGCTAAAACAAGAGTATCAGAATGTGAGAGAGAGAGAGAGATTGAGAGAGAGAGGGAGAGAGAATAGCAGAATGTTAATAGATTTGAAGTTGTGTAATGAATAAAAGGGGGTTTATTATGCTATTTGGTTTACTTTGTTTACCTCTGAAAATTTCCAGATAAAAAGTTTTGACATTTATGCTACAAAAGTCTATTTAATGACATGATAAAATAGAATCTATATTTTGCTATATGGAAAAACAAAATATTACATGCCAGATGTTTCCATTGTTGGGACAAATATTTGCATATCCATAAAAGATTAGAAAGTTATGTACCAAAACTGTTAATTAGCAATTGTTGGGGGGAGTGAAATACAGGTGTCTTTTGCTTTTCTACTTATTTTTCTTTCTCTTTGTTGTTTTCTGGATGTTTCTGATTTTTTAAATTGAACAATTATTTAATTAGGACAATATATCGTAAATGTTATCTTTTTTAAAATAACCAAGAACAACAATACAAAAAGAGAGTAATGGTCCTAATTACCCTGAATCAATAATAAGAGAAATGTACCCAGGACCTTTGGAAAAGTCCTGCCTCACAGGCTAAGGTTAATATTACCTTCATTTGGGAGAAAGAAGAATATGAAAAATG